GTCCTATTCTCTGCTATCCTCTTTAGGCAGGTCCACGAATCGTCCATAATCTCTCATCTCCTCCTCACAACACCAATCTCCTCCATGTCACCATTGACCACACTCCCGAATCGTCGTTTCCCCCATTCTGATTCCACTGCAGCCATGACTTGGCATGCGATGTCATTCGACGGTCTCCTCAGTGTGTGTCCAGTCCATCTTCATTTTCTCCCACATATTCGTTGAGCAATCGATTTTTTTGATTGGTTTGTCCCCATAATTTCTCGTTGCTGATTCTTTCTCGCTGGCTATTTGATCTTTAATATGGATTCAGCGAAGGCAGCTGTTGTTGATAAATGTCTGCAGTTGGCTTTTCGAAATGGCGTTCGTGATCCGCTGGCCACATTTCTGACCTATATAGAAGAAGTGACTGGCTTAAGATTGGTGTTGAAAATCCGAATCTTGTTCTTTATGCTGGCTGAGTGCGGAGGATGTCCAAACTGATTTCAGAGTGATGAAGGTTTGTCTTGGCTTTCCAATTCTGGCTGGCATTCACATCCTCACGCGTGCTGGCTACCTGTAACTGAAACAATGCTGCCGAGATAATTGAAGGAAGTAACCTCTTTCAAATTTCTCCCATTGATGATGACTGGTGCTATTTGTTCTTGATGTAAGTATAAAACTTGGGCACAGTGGTAGAGTATAACTCCATTATAGATAAGATTTTATTTTCATAAATCACACAGTGTTGTACAGTTATATTAACTGATGACTTATCGAGCACAAATTATTGCTCATAATCATATGTCTCCGACTTTGCTCTGATCTGTGGTTTTGTGGTTCAGTTTCTGAATGCCAAACTTGAGTTGTGGCCTGTCTCCATTTGTTTTGAGGGATTTCATCTTCACCTTGAAGGTTCCTAAAACTAGATGACGGTGTGAGCCCACATCTGCTCTCCTTGTCGACTTTGTATCCAGAAGACTGCGTCTTCACATCCTTGAACAGTGTTGAGATGAAATCTATCTGGTTTTTGGTATTTCCTTCAGGCGAAATCCATGTTGCTGTGAGTATATCCTTGTGTTTGTACACACTGCCTCCGATCACCAGATCATTGAAAGCGCAGAATTCTGCGGATAATTCTCCGTTCTCATTCATTTCTCCCAGAGCCTCTCGACCGATGATGAGTTCTCTTCCTATATAATTTGCTCCCATTTCGGCTAGCATTCATATCGCCTGTGAGGATTTTTGTGCCAGCTTTCGGAATGTTGTCCATTACTGTTTGTAGTTGTCTGTAAAACTCTTCCTTCTTGTCTTGTTCCGCATTGTTTGTAGCACTGTCCGTAGCATTGGATAATTGTGACCTTCCTTTTGATTTGAATCTTGTTGTCATGATCTTGCTGGAGGAGATTGGTTCTTACTGTATTAGGGCTTTGGCTGCCACTGGTTACATCATGATAGCTATTGACTGACTCAGTGTGCTCGTAGTCGTCGTCTGGGTGACCGGAGTAGATTATTGACTCTCCAGTTGACAATTTTGACAATCCACATCCATTTCATCTGCTCTCGCAAATTCCCAGCACTTCTATACCTTATCTCCTCATTTCTTTGGCTAACTTGGCAGCCTTTCCAGCTTTGTAAAAATGTTAACTCAAGTAGTCATCGACAATTTTGGTCTGTATACAATCGCTGAGTTTCATTCTAAAAGGAATTGCTGATATGCAGTACTTAGAATGCTTATTTCTTACTAAGCTTCACTTGTTCATATGTGCGTACTGATGAAGAGTCCAGAACCAGGATGAGACACCTGTCCAGTCCACCCAGGTTCTCCAGTGGTTCTCTAACCGATGTCAGCTCATGATGAAATCCTGTGACCAGTCAAATCCCCGCAAACCAACACCTTGATAGTTAATCTAATGCTAACTAGCAACTGCCTGTATACAGAAAGTTACGTGGAGTTCTAGTGAGAAGCCGCAACCAGCGGAGTCCACCAAGTCAGGGAGGAGAACAGTTACTCGACCATGACATTGACTGGCGGTTGCGCTATAAACATCGTGAATTAGCAGAAGATGGAATTCATGGACTGACCATCGGATCAGGCAGGTGTCCCAGTGGCTTTATGGCCTACAACCTCACCTTGTAACCAGTAGGTCCTAGGTTCGAAACCCCATGGGTGAGTACTGTTGAAGAGTCCAGAACTTGGATGAGACGCCAGTCCAGTACTCCTAGGTTCTTTAATGGTCCTCTAACTGATATCAATCCGTGACCAAAATTGATCACAAAGTTTATTATATTACTCTGCTCACGATTACTCCTACTAATACTACTACAAATTTCTCATAGAAACATGCCTAGATACGCACTTCACTTACATCCTCATACCTCGTTGACTGGTAGATACTATGCACTTTCACTCAATTCCATAACAGGCTATAGAAGAAACTACTATTTTTGGCACATTCAATAACTGCAACAATTATTCAGGCTAAGTGTAAGAGTAGAGTTTGGGTATCGTGGTAGAAAATAATCCAATATATCGGATGATTCGATCAGCAAAGATTCGGTGATTAAACTCTCCCTCCAGTTAACTATGTTATTATATTGCAGCATGTGCTACTAACAAGATTTATCAATAGTGTATAGATGCAGATTGATAGGAAGTAACAACATTTTGAAGCAATAGCTACAGAAATAGAAGTGTTTATTTCTCAAATCTGCAGCTCGCCTACGTTGTGGTCAGGAAACAACCTCAAGATTTAACCTCTAAAAAGCCAACAACTAATCAGAACAACCTACTGTCAGTAG